AAAAAAAATTTGAAATGCGAAAATTGACCAAAGTGTATCATTTCGGTTTGCCAATTTCTCAGTGTTGTCAGTAGCTCTTGCAAAAGCACGGTATAATTTAATGGCAATCCTCTTTGTTATTGATGTCGAGAAATGAAATTTAGTTTCTATGCCTTCTAAATCTAAAATATAAAATGCGAACGCAACCATAAGATGGCGGACCAAGTGGCGGACCAAGGGTAGGGAGAGGTCTCCTTCCCCCCCCCCCCCTTGATCCGCCACTGCCTAGCCATGTGTGAAGACAGGGCGCGGCAAAACCGCCCCTAAATTCTCTGTCTGCCTCTACACTTTGTTAATCCTAGGGGCAAAGGCAAGGGACGGGGAACTGACGCCGAGCAAAAGAAGAAAGGCATTCCAAACGTCAGGACGTTAACTTTGAACCGCCGGTTTGTATGACAGTGTAGTATGTGGACTTTTATTGGCGGGCTCACCCTGCTTTGCAAATATCACAACCCATCGCACACGTTCCGAGCGTTAATGGCTTTCGTGCAAGCTGCGTTTACTATGTTTATGGGAGAGCACACGCGATCGCGCTGTGCGCACGCGTATGTCATGTGTGCTAGCGCACCCCACCAACACCACCACCACGGACCACAGTAGATTATATTTTGTAAATAAATCGATAGAAGAACTTACTCATTAATTTAAATAAATGATTAATTTTTCACTCCCTATTTTGTCCTGATGACAGGGCAATGTCGCAGGGAGTGACATATGGGATGTATTTGCAAGTGTATGAGCAATGGAGGCTGCTTGATCTCAATTGGGATTCCCCCTGGACCTGGATCCTGGTTGCTCTTGCGATTGACTTTTGTTACTACATCTTTCATCGTGCTGCACATGGTAAGTGACACATGCGAATGGTATTATTCCTGCTTGCAATATAATCTTTTGATGATGATCCTCCCTGAAAAGAAGGCAGTAAGAGGAAAAATGCATAGCAGAAGTGATGGAAGTTAAGAAATTACAACAGTGGATCTGCTTCTCTTTTTCATAAATATCAAGTTAGAAACTGGTTGGTTTTAAGGAGTAGGGCGTCCGCCCCCATTCTCAACTCGAATTATGCGTAAATGTGATGGAAAGTGTTACCTTAAAATAAAAGTTATTTCGCTTCTCCAACTGACTGTGATATGAGCGCATTCATTTTCAGAGGTGAACCTGCTTTGGGCACTTCATCAGGTACATCACAGCTCCGAGGAGTACAACCTCGCGACGTCTTCTCGAATATGTATCTTTCAGCAGTGGTTTCTCTTTGTAAGTGGAAGTTCCCATCCCGCTTCGATATGATAACATATGAATTCTCTTGATGCATTTGACGCATTCACTGCTCGATTATGGGATGGATTATTTCCGAAGAAAGTCCCAAACCGTAAAACGCCAATGGAACAGCCCGCATTAAGATCGTCTCCTGCGCCAATATGTTCTTTTTCATTTATAAGCCGGCAAATATGAACACCATATTCTAAATGAGAACTTGCCAGGGGCCTATTCCACAAAAGATTTACAAGTTACAAGCTACAAGTTACAAGTAGTTGCAAGGGTCGTGTCTTCTTTTTCAACTCTTCTAGCTGCTCCCGTTGACACTTTACGCGATCAAGGAATGACCCTTGCAACTTGTAAATCTTCTGTGGAATTGGCCCCAGAGCCGCATACGAATATAATGGATGATTAATACAATCGAATGCCAGCTGAAATAAGAAATTCATGTTGGATTTCGATGGAGTCTTCATAAATTTTCGAGGGTCTCAGTTATTACGATAGATGCGAAAAGCTTCACATTTACTCCTAATGGATTTCTTAAGTGAAATTTTTGTATGTTATCCTTTTTATTGTAATATCTTGACTGCAGGGTATAAGAGATGTTTTGAATGATTGGAAGCCATCTTGAGAAAACCGACAATGTTGAACAATTCCATAACGCGTTGTTAGCAAGAAGAAGATGAATTTCATATCAATAAGTGGATCATATGTTAGCTGCAAATATTGAGAGCTCTACGACTCAAAAATTCCAACGAAACATATGAAATACGGACTCTAACATTCTCGGGCCATTTCTTCTCAAATTATCCCAGAAAAGTCATTCAAGAGACGTCAAGTCGGTGTTTATGACGATCGTAAAAGGGCTAGGAACCAAAACGTAGTCAAAAGGATTAGCTATCATACAAAATGTTAGTCACATTGGATTCCCTGCAGTCAAAAGCATTCCAACAAGCACGAGTATTTGCGAATGCAATTTCAATGTTTAAAAAATTATTTAAAAGATGCAACCTATAGAGAGTGCCAAATATTGTCTGACACCAGGGAAGTTAAAGGTGGGCAAGGCGACCGGCCCCGATAGGATTCCTGCGAGAGTCATCAAGGAAACCGCGAGAGAAATATCGGTTCCGCTAATATTTATATTTGAAAGCAGCTTTTCGCGCGGGGAAGTACCTATGGACTGGAGACTAGCAAACGTCGTACCAATCTTTAAGAAAGCCGAAAAGAGTAATCCAGGGAATTACAGGTCGGTAAGTCTCACGAGTATCCCAGGGAAGATCATGGANACCATATATGGGGGTCTGAATATGAACCATATATAGTTCCATATTTATTAAGAATGGCCAAAACATGATAAGGACTGAACTGTTTCCAAACATGGCTAAATTCAGTACTGTACATACGCCTGTATTTGGAAGTTCCGTAAGGGAAGATAGGTAAATTTGCCGACGACACCAAGATAAGTTTTACCGTAAGGGTGGAGGCAGATAGGGTTAGAGCTGAGCGAGATTTAAGTCTTTTGGATGAGTGGAGCAAGAAATGGCCCATGAGGTTTAATAAAAGTAAGTGTAAAGTTATCCACGTCGGTCGAAATAACAGTAGGTCTCTCGACACGTTCGGCGAGGTTAAATTGGGGAAGACAAACGGAAAGAGAGATTTAGGAGTTTCTATCGATGAAGACCTCAAGTTTTCCTCGCACGCGCAAGCGACGGTAGCCAAATGCAACAGGATTCTAGGGTTCATTCGTCGTTCGGTTGCAAGTAGGACTTGGCGCGTTATTCTTCCGTTGTATGCGGCGCTGATAACACCCCAGTTGGAATATTGCATTCAGTTTTGGAGGCCTACAAATAAGGGTGAATTACTGGCACTTGATGGGGTACAGAGGAGGGCCACAAGAATGATGAAGGATGCTAGGGGACTTTCGTACGAGAAACGTTTAGAAGTGTTGGGATTGTACTCGCTCGAGAGAAGGCTAAGGAGGGGCGATCTCATCCAGACTTTCAAGATAATTAAAGGAATAGATAATATCGAGCGTGGTAGGTTTTTTTCAGTTCGATGGCAGCAAGAGAACGAGTGGTAATCAACTATACCGTAGTTGCGCGAGCCGCAGGTGCGGCTCAGGTCGAGACAGGAATTATTTACTTGCAGAGTAATGAACGCGTGGAATGCGTTAGATGACGAAGTAGTGGCTGCCCCTTCTGTGACTATTTTTTAAGACGAAACTGGATGCTTTTATGGACAGGCAAAAAAGTGGGGGGCAATATTGAAGATAGGGACTAGGAAGTAAGCAACTAGAATACACTAAAAAAAAATTACAAAAATACAAAAATAATTATTTTTAATAGGATTAGGCCTACCCTAAAATTAAGGAACGCTCGACCTCGACATCGACACATGATATCGAAATGGGCGTAATCGCCTCTTGATATCACTGACTACCTTGAACCTTAACCCTTTCAGGACCATAAGCATTGTGGGACAGCGACTTTAACTTTAATGACGTGTTTAGGGTGAAAATGACGTGTAGATTCCAAAAAACTTTGTTTGGAGGCTATATCTCCCATAGTTCTCGAGATATAGCGTGGGACAAATATGTCCCACAACAAAAAAAGTACATTTTTTTCTAAAAAATAATAAACAAATGAGTGTCGAAATGAGAAAATATGTTACAGTAAGGACATACGAAGGCAAACCCACAGACAATTTTTTTTCGGCTGCATCGGTTTTTCAAAACAAAAAAATCAAAATTCACACTTCCGGACCTGTTTGGAAAAGATAATTTTGTCTGGTGACGACACAAATTCATATATTCACAAAACCTGCCATAATTTTGAAAGTCCATGACATACTGATTCCTTATTCGCAAAAAGCATCGCCCTAGACTNTTCATATATTCACAAAACCTGCCATAATTTTGAAAGTCCATGACATACTGATTCCTTATTCGCAAAAAGCATCGCCCTAGACTAATTCATTCAAATTTGGGAGGATTTTGAAAATATGGGACAAATACGTCCCTTGGTCCTGAAAGGGTTAAACCTTGAACCATGCACGAACTTTTTTGTGACGTCGGCATGATTTTATTCACGAGGCCATGATCTGAATCACAGATATGGACAAGAATAAAATATGGTTGGAAAATGAAGTTCAGGGAAACTCCACTCACAATCTTCCAGGAATCGAGATGCTTTCCAGACATCCTACCTTAACCTTGGCAACTGCCGATCAATCGACAGTTCACCCGTCACAGTGTCTAACCTTGCCACTTCTAGGGTTAAATGCCAAATGCCATCCCTCGCACCATTAACATGAACTAAAGTACTAATCCTATACTTCCTGTGATCGACACTATCCCCAACATTTCATCTGTTTTGTTACGCAAAAGAGCTGCTCTCTTTCTACACAGATACATCGAAGTTTAAAAGTGTGTTCTCCCAGTCCCTTTCCTACTGCAGCCTCCATCATTATCATTTTCTTCGATTCTTCTACCATGCTGGGCATACCTTTAATGGGGCAAGAAATGCGCACCCTATACCGGGGTGGCCGAGTGTTTCTGGCTTCCGATTGAAACCCGGGAGGCGAGGGATCGCGTCCGTGTGACGGCGGGCTCTTCCTCCGCCGACAGGCGACCCACCTGCTTTCAATGGGAGTATCTGCTTAGCGTGGGATAACACAAACGCCACCCTGTGTGCCACGTCTAGGAGATGCGGGTGCAGTACACCTTAAAAACCACTCGTGCCAGTCATGGGCGTAGGCAATCCATGAGCTGCCCTAAGGCCTCCTACAGGACCTAAGGGACTGTGACATGGATGTGGTGCTCGTGCCAGGCGGGCACCCCCTTCTCTCTGCGTCATGTAAAATGCGTCCGTTGTCCTGTATGTCCGTCACATGTCCTGTCTTAAAAAAAAAAAAGAAATACACAACATATTTCAAGAATTTTAAACTTTACTAAAGTACTGCTTCCTTAATTTTAATGAAAATTTAAAAGAAATCCCATCCAATAAATTCGCGGAGAAGCATCATCTAGATTCTAGAAACTCATACTACATCTTGGGAACATTCAATTTATTGCACAAGGTTCCAGCGTTGAAACCAGAATGATTCTAGGATAATAAAAAAAGAAAATGTTGCGGGAACTGCTAAGTGCTGGTGCTGCCTTTGGCTTTAGATGCCGCCGCAGATAAAGATGTATAATTTGCTCGTTCCCACTTTGGTCATGTACCCATCATTAGATTCCTTCAATTTATTTCCAAACCTTACGTACATTTACCAGTACCACATGTATGCACAATATTATAGCTAATCTGTTTGGACAGGCTTTCTACCTCCCGACGGCCCTGCTGGGTGCTCCACCGAGTCATATTCTAGTCCACACACAAATGAATCTTCTCTACCAGTTCTGGCTTCATACAGAGACTATTTCCTCCCTGGGACCTCTCGAATATATCATCAACACCCCATCGCATCATCGAGTCCATCACGGTTTCAGTTCGATTCTATTCTCAAAACTGGGAAACGGAAAAGGAGATTTCTCTGAGGTTTGGTATTTACAGGATGCAACCGGTACTGCATAGACAAAAACTATGCAGGGGTGCTCATCATCTGGGATCGAATTTTTGGAACTTTTGAACCCGAAGGCGAACAAGTTGTCTATGGCCTCACCCACGCAGTCAGCACTTTCAATCCCATCAAACTCCAAGTTTGTATTTTTGATGCTTCTTGGATTCCATTCGAAGTCCATCTCTAACGAATGTATTCTCTCGGTATCAGTTTCACCACTTCCAGAACATCTGGAAATCCCTGTGGGAGATGAGAAGCTGGGGGAACCGACTGAAAGTCCTTTTCTATGGCCCGGGCTGGGAACTTGGACAACCCAGGATTTACCCTAAGGATCTCTTGCCTGACGTCAGTCTCGAAGTTATTACTTTTTGAAATTAGGTATAAAAATATGAATAAATTTGAGATTTACAAGCTCAATAGTAACATGCAATAAATGCTGGCGGGTCATTAAGTTATTAGTTTTCACAAAGAGGCAGCACGTAAATGCAATTTCATCTGAGAATTTTTCAAGGAGTATGGTAAATTAGTGCTTTTCAAATGCAGGTTGTGTGACTTGGACTTGGTTCGCCACAGATTTCGCAATAGTAAGACTTGTTCTGTCCATCCATGAATATTCATGAAAACTAACAAGCATTTGCGATGTTGGACACATTTGTTTCTGAGGAAAGATGAGGTAGATAGGGTTGAAACTTTGAACTTAAAGGAAAGTGTTGACAACTAATGTAAACAGATCACTCTCAAGTGAAAGTGATGATGAACAATAGCATATAGAGACTAACGAGAGAAAGCAGTAGGGACATAGGCGATTGGCATGTCACACACGTTTCGACTACACGAATCAATGTGACGGCATTCAATCTGTGAACTGGTGCATGGACCGAATCAGTACTAGGACTTTCCACATCCGTGCTCCGGGAGGGTCAGTTGGCTGGAACAGGCTGTTAAGATTGACAATTTTTTTTGCCATATATTATTGTTGTTTGTATTTTAGATTCTGTTTATGGCAGTATTTGTTTACTCTGTTATTGGCTTAAAGACCTATGAGCGATAGATATCGTTGATTTCTTAAATGGGTAAACTTACGAATGAGCCACCCAGTATTTAAAAATGAATGGAAAACATACGAAGTGTAAAAAAAATTATCAACTTTGAACAAACCCACGTTAGGCCCTACTCGTTCTTCAATATTGCTTTTTGCGTTGCGTATTCAAAATAACATTCACGAATATGATCGTGCATGAATTCATGGGCAATTGCTTGAATTCCATTCAATCATGTGTTCAACGCCAACTGCATAGGAAATAACTTTTTACAAAAAAAAAAGTTATTCGATTTCCATTTTTCCTGTGTAGCACAAGGCTCCAATGAAGAAATATCAGCCAGAGAGTCCCAGGGATGTTCAGGTCTATACCTTCATACAGTTTATAATTGGTGCCATAGTACATACACAGTTCATGTCCATACACAAGGTAAGAATCGAACCTTTTTTTTAAATTAGAGATGAACTGTGATTGAACATTCAAACAATATATATTCTGCAGACGTTGCACTTCCATGAAGTGCTCCTGTTTCTCGGCTACACTGGACTCTCGATGCTGAGCCTTGCGCTGATGCTAGAGAACGACACACGGGGACTTAGATTTGAACTCCTCCGTTGTTTTGTTTTCCTTTTCATATCTTCCGTGTTCCCTTTCATGAATGCCTGGCCCTTGAAGCTAATCACCTGGGTCTCCGGTTTCTACATAATCATCTGGACCCTTACAAATAAACAAAATCAATCTTGATGTGCATGACTATATATTCGGTGAAAATGTATTGGGATATACAACGACCAAGAAAAGGGAAAATATGTGTAAATATATATTACCATAGGAAATAAAATAAAGGGAACACATGAGCATGCATGCACTTCAACATTTGCGGCAGATCGTATCTTCAGAATTCCTCCCCAATTATTGTGATGTTCAAATACTGTGAATATATTCAAAGTTTCCAAGGGGCATTGATATCATTGTCGTTTGATTCCCCACATGTGTTTTCATCAACGGATTGAGTGATACTTATCCTGGAGCAGGAAGTGAGCATGGCCATTTTCATTGTCAAGGTATATCAATTCAATCATGACACTGTCCATAATGAAATGACAATAGAGGTGATGCCATCAACTAGCACCAGGATAGTGATCCATCAAGCCAAGAGTTTTCCCCTTCTGAGAAGCAAGTGCTTGGAGGACCTTGGGGTGAGGTTCAGGTTGAAGAAAGGTGAAAGACTTTGAGAAATGGCTTTCACCTTACAGTCAACTCTCGATATACCCGCACTGTTGGTCTCGGAAGATTTTGGCGCTATGTGGAGGGTGGCGCTAAATCGCAACGCATAGCTTTAAAGTGATTTTTTTTCTAACTTCTACGAAGCATGCACCAAAGATCACTTTCAATAATCCACGCTCCTAATGATCCGTGCCTCAGAATTCACCATCTACACAACTTTCAAATTGATTATATGTATTCCATCCATTAATAAATCCAATGATTTCTTATTTTTGAATTGTATAACTCCTATGCACCTCCTGCTCACATTATTTTCCACAAAAAAAACTGAAAAATTGTTGTCAAAGTTTAGCTGTCTCTTGACCTCATGCACCTCCTTCTAACGTCACACTTCCAATTTTTCCTTCACACTTACAAAGTCTTCTTTTCCCCATCTCTAGATAGTGTATAAACTTGATCCGTCGTCTGGTGAAGCTGCGTATAGCCTGAATGAGACATTTCCATTCTCCAAAAGAAAGAAAGAGACGGGATTAGGCTGGATTAGGCTACCCTATACGCCCCCCTCTAATCTCTGCAGGCCTTTTCTAACGCCAAGTCGTCCCTTACAATCTAGCTACCTATCATGCGACCGAAAGGAGCAACTGGCAGCATTACATTTTGTACACTGCATAATGATTGTGGCTGGTAAATTATGCTGCTTGACGCAATTTCGAGTAAGACTTACGCAGAATAAGACACGTTTGTGCAAGTACAGGTGTTGGTGGATGGCGGCAAGCAAGGGTAGCGGTATATCGAGGGTTGACTGTACTTCATATGGAACATATGCTCAGGTGTACCAGTGACTGCGAAGTAGGTGGCAATAAATTTTCCTGTTGGTTCCTGCAGGGGCGTCTGGCCAATTAGTCCTTCGAAGGTGTTAGTCCGTAAATGGTTCAATGACCTTAAAAGGGAATGATTCCCATCAAACTGGACAGGGAAGCGCCTCGTCATGACTGACCGACCCTGCCAGTCGATCGGCAGACATCTTTCCTCAGAACGATCTAAATGCTCGTAGACCCAGATTGGACGCTTTCATGGCTACAAACGGGAAGTCACATTTGACTTAAACCATAAAGCCTGATCGCGGCTAAGCATACGAGCTACTTCATGCTATCGTCCTGGTCTTGGGGGTTAATGTCATAATCGTTAGTATCATCGAGGTCTAGCTCAAGCCTGGTTGTACAGGCCCCCCGGCCCCTAAGCATGGGGCCGGGGGGCCTTTGTAGCCCGATTGGCAAGAATCCCCTTCCTTCCTCTAGATCACGTAAAGTGCAATACAGAACACCCTTTGGCAGGAAACTACCTAAGAAAGAAAGCCTTTAGGAGAAAAGCGTTAAAAATAAAATGATATCAACGCCTCTATCGTTGGTCAAACTTCGGCTTTCCCATATGCAAGAATCATGCAGGTAAGAATCACGTTTGAAAGAAACACGTGCCTATTTCCACGTAGTAAAGATATCCCGCATTCTAGAATATCCTAGGCAAGAGAACATGTAGCACGGAAGCTTTAAAGCAGGAAAACACGTGGCTCCGAAATGATGAGATCGCACATTGAGAAGTAATCACGTGAAAATGCTGGCAAGAACATGTTTAAGAAGAAAAACCATTGATGGTCGGAATATATGCGGACAAGGCAATTTGGAGAGACAAGATGGAGAGATATGGACAAGGCAATACGCATGTGACATTACGTTTTATTCAAGAGAAACATAAATATTTAATAATAATAAACATTTATGTGAGTCACATGTCAAGGGTTATATTGTGAGACCACATTGTGGTTTTTACCTCCTTCTTCAGGATAAATGCAGAGACTGTGGCTGCTTTGGAGTCAGAGGGAAGGAATTTCTCATTCCGTGTCCTAAAGCACAGATAGGCCATTATAGACAATATAAATATATATATAGAGACAGATCATGGATGTATAGAGTGATATCTGAACATGCAAGCCCTCAATTTTCGTAATAAATCATGAACGTTTAATAAGAGCAGAAAAATCTGATCTCTTGTAGTGTATTTACTGTACATCTTGGATGCGTAGGACTGTAGCTTCACAAACAGCTCTCTGCATCCTTTAGCTTGATTCTAGTACTCCAGAGGAGGTAGCGTGAGAAAAGGCGAAGACTGAACATCCCTGAAATGACATCTTTCACGTGTCATAAAGTTATTCCCAGCTCTTATCGGGACTTAATTGCATATCTTTGGGCCTCTCATTGGCGTTCAGAATTTTATTTTTATTTTTCCACTCCATCTCGACCACACTCCAGTCATCATCGCGAATCAATTATGATCACCATAAGTTGATTTGACCGGTACCTGGTGCGCCACTTTCCTAGTACAGAATCAATCAGATGGCGATTCCAGTCCATGGGTGAATTTCTACTCCTCCTTCACGCAGGGGTTGGAATAGGAGCCTTAATGAGGTCACAATGAGAACGCTTTTTTGGTCAGTTCCAAAATTACAGACGTAACAGTACTCTTAAAATGAAAATAAGTATGATAGTACACCTTGAATATGGTTTGCTCCAGAAATTCTACTTCAATAGTGCTTCTTAGAACACAGAAACTTGCACATATTCAAACCAAAAATGTCTCTTTTCTCCCATGGATGTAAAAAAACAAAGACATTAATTTCCTGTTTCTGACATAACATGGTTTAGGCTACAGATTTTGTTCTGTTTCTTCCATTCCGATTCTACCGTATTTGATTCGGCTTGATTTGGAGCTTCCATATTTTCAAGAAAAGAAGGCATAGACCGCAACCTTTCTTCGTGCCAAATGACACGTCGACGATCGACAAAGGAACGGGTAGGAGAGTTTTCCATCGTTACTAACGTTACGGAATTGTCGAAAAAGATGTTTACGAAGCAAGTTTTAAATTTTAATTTATCAAGATGGAGTCTAAAAAGAGAAATGAAAAATCATCTTATGTCAGGCGATGCATTTTGAGTGGACCCCTTATTCAGTCTAATACATACAATGGGTGCATTTGGGGAGTGGAGAGGGAAGACAGTGCATCCTCCAGTTCAAAATGCCCTCAGATTGATACACTGTTGATTTGTGCCAACAATATTTCTCGACCTGCATCCTCAGCTTAGCCAAACCTTAATGACTAAATTCATCTTGAAAGCAGCCCCTCAAATGCTTCCGTTAGCACGAAAATAGCTGCTTTCTGCTGAAGACGATGTAGAGCAAAAAAATCGTTTATGTGCATTCTTGTCTCCTCCCATCTCATTTCCACCTTTCAAACATATACACATGCAAAACACGTGAAACATGTATTTTTCAGAACTAACCAAATATCTCAGAACATTTCAAAATGCCGTCACTCATGATCACTTGCCACTGAAGGTAAGTTGACCGTTCCTTTTTAGAGCTTCACACTTTCTCAGAGTATCCAAATGCAGTCAACACAAAATAAATTCCAGAAATATCCAGAGCGAGGCAGAAGTGTTAACCAAGGAATAGTTCTCATGAGATTACACACAGGCATGCGACGCCTCATTTGCACGCCAGAAGTACCTGCATCTACAATCTACTACCTCTACCACCTACATCTACTTGCATGAGCAACGTACCAATATGAATACCTGAGCCCTATGCATGTAAAGGTATGTTCGTATGCATAAGCGTAGCTTGGATGAAAAAAGTGGGGGGGCACAGGACAAAGGGGGGGGGGGGAACGGAGCTTGGCGGGGAACTCTTTAACAATGTCAGTGCCATAACAAGGGGTGTGCGAGCGGTGCCCCGCACAGGACGCCGATTGGCTGCCGAATTATAAAAAAATTCATTCATCAATTCATCATCAGCAATCATCGAATGCATCGTAATTACTTGAAACGAAACGATAAAAATTATACGTTAATTTTTCCATTCAGATGAGAAGGGTCCCCCCCCCCCCCAATTCTGAATTTTCACCTCCCACCTCCATAATGCATTTTCTACAATAAACGTCCATTAAAAGTTTAAAAAAAAATTGACCACAATTCTCTTTTAGTTGAAACTGAAAGGGCAGTCATCCCAAAAACGCGTTTCTCATAATCGAGGAAAATGCACGTTTACTTTCACTATGACCAAAAGTTTTGCAGGTTTCATCAGTGAAGTTGTTAATCGACTGTCATACTTCTGTAGCGCCCGCCATGACTTATTGCCTTCCCCAGTCAGGCGCCAGGCAACGGTCCTCGAAGGGGTTGAAATTAATTGCTACTTCTACCCTACACGTGTCCTTTCATCATTAACAGAGGAGAATGACAGAAAATTATGACAGCGACAAGTGAGGACAAACTGGCGTCCTTCGTGTAATCCATGGTTTTGCCGCGATTCCGCTGTCAAGAGGGATCAGAGGTCAACCACTTTCCCCAAATCTCCTGAATCCATTTTCGGTATTCATCCATCCGGCCTTCTGACCATTCAGCGTCCGAGTTTACCGTGACGTGGATGGACACGGAGAACAGTATATAAACTCAACATGGAGAGTGGAGAGGAGGAGGTAGAGGTTAGTGAAGGGTTCCGGACTTCGCTGTTGCTGCTGCTATCATCAGGCATCGGGTTAGAGTCCCTGCTTGGATCAAAGCCTTGCTAATTCTACTCGGTTGGAGTCGAGATGCCTAAGCTCTGGTTTTAGCCGGACTTGGGTGGATCTGG